CAAAGTGCGGCCCGAGGGCCATTTGCGGCCCTTGGAGTGATTTTGTGCGGCCCACAGCTGCAGTTCAAGAATGGTATCATTTTGGCCAGCAGCTTAAGAGGTCGATGCAGACTTTCTGCAGATTAGTTGGTAATCCTTTTTTTAAAATATAATGTTTAGGTTTAAAAGCAAAATGGATGAAAAACAATCTTCTCAAAATGAGCAATATTAAAAGTATAACCTTTTTATTTTCATTTCGTGGCACAAAACACCAAAAACCTTTTCTGATTTCTACCAGAAAGGAGACTTTTGGATAATGATGCATACAACTTGTCTAAATGTTGCAGATGATAAAACAATCAAGAGGGAAATTGGACATTTTTCAATGAATATAACGTGGTATCATCTACATACGAGTTGATCAACTTTATCAATGAATCTGTTGTAGCGACTGACAGCTGGATGGTTTTTCAGAACTTCCATCAACCTTTTGGTCGGTCCATGGTCCAAAATGCTGATTGACCCCCTTTTAAAAAGGACTCTTACTCAAATTACACTTTTGTTGTTGAGAACAAACTAAAATGAACGTTCCAAACACAAGAAAACAACAAACATAAACCCAACAAATCAAATCCTTTTGAATAAAAATATCAGTTTAGTGTTTATGAGGCTTTTAATATTTTGGATCTACAACCATTTAAAACTCTTTCTCCAACATATTGCTCACATTGAGAGTTAAATTCACATTTTTGTGGTCCATCATTCCTTTCATCTGGATAGCTTTGGCACATATATGAAAAAGTTTGGACACCCCTGTCTTAGAGAATTCATAAATGGCTATAATTTAGACTATTTGATTGATACTGCGCTAAAAATTGGTGTGGATGTACCGGAGCGTGACTTAATACGTAATCTAAGTGTTACTCAAAGCATGCGATCTATGCATACAATAACATTATCTGTTGGAGTCAACCCTATTTGTCTGTTAGCAAAATATCTTACGAACCATTTGATGAATTTTAATTAAACTCTTATAAACTAATCACCGGATGTACTCCTACAATTAATAGTCAGATTAATATTGATGATCCGGTGTTTTGTTTTGGTTTAAGTTGGGTTTGCAAATACATTTTCTCAGAAAAGTGACTTTTTCTGAGAGTTAGTACAATATATAATATTATGTCACATTTAAGCAGAAGAACAAGCGACTCTGTCAAAACTGCCCTGGGATCAGTCACTAACTTTATTCAAAGGATTTAATATGAACAGAGATTGTTCCTCTGCAGAACAGATTTCTCACAGACTCTTATTCTGCCATGTTTAGCACATCTGCTGCAGTAAATTAAAACAACCAGCTCAGCGATATAAAATAATGTAGTATTTTCCATAATTCTTTACAATACCCATCAATGTTTATTGTACAACAGTCACCACGTATCTTATTATATGAATATAAATGTAGAATTCATTCTATCCGTTAGATTAAAAGCGCTCTGCTGGAACCGGAGTCTGTTCTTTAATTGGACATTTTTCCACACAGTCTACAACACTCTGCTTCTTTGGCTTGTTTGTCGATGGCACTTTTACAGAATAGTTTGCATAACATAAAAACTCCATACCACTGCCTGGCACGCGGTTGACAACCTTGATGAATCACCGAGCATGAGACTAAGGGTGTACTTAGAGAAAGAAAAATCCAACATCTGTCAGGATCGTGCAAGCACGGAAAATAAATAGCTTGTCAGATCAAGGGAAGGAAAGAAAATCTCCGCGCTGCTCAAACTAAACATCTTCATTCCGTTTTTGATTCGTTCTCAAGTCCTTCATGTGAACTCAAATAGCGTCTTTGTCGAACTCACAAACGAAATACATGGTGGGATGGCACGCCACATCTGTCCACTCCCCGGAGGCCACCATCTCGGCACAGTCCTCGTCGTCGTACGCGTTGTTGGGCTCCCCTTTTTTCCATTTGCTGAAGGTGGTCATGGGGGAGCGATCCACGTAGGTGAATTTCCCTTCGTGGTCAAGGTCGTGAATTCCAATGTAAACTCTGCTCAGGCCTGCGTCGGTTATACATCCCGCAACGGCTGCGTTGGCGCCGTCGTCCTTTGGCATGGCCAGGTGCCCCCCCCTCGACTGACAGTGGACCTCGGCGTCGGCGTAGCGCTTCGCTTCCTTCACCAGCAGATAGACCTTACTCTCCGTCTCCTTCATGCCGGCAACAGCTGCAGGGGAGGGCAGTGCTGAAAAATGAGCACCTAATTTTCTATAAATCTCTTATTGACATGTCCGCCAATTTCACTTCTAAGCCGTTACAACAAGCATGGGAGAGCCTGATAGTATATTTACACATGTTTGTATGCACACACAAATTCAGTAGGTTTATAAATATTGCTCAGATAATACCATTTTTGATGAATTTCAGCTCGGAGGACAGTTGCGACACCAGAATGTCCATTTCTCCAATCATCTTTCTTATTGATGTGCACTCGCATGGCACGCCTGAGAAGGCAAAATAACTTTCACTAAAAACACTGACCGTGTCCCTGGAAACCATGTTTGACAAACTGGATGCCTTCGTTTCTCACCTGGTTCTCCATTAGGACCACTTGGGCCTGGCTCGCCCATGTCTCCTTTAAATCCTAAAACCAAAACAATATAATCAATCAACTGCGTACCGTGTTTTAAATTTACTTCATCCATCCCTGAACGAGTACATCTTTGGATAATTGTATCACCTTTAAATCCACTTGGGCCAACTTTCCCATGACGTCCCATAATGCCTTTCTGTCCTTGAAGCCCAGGTTGCCCTAGAAAGTGTACATTGTAAGGCTATATATTGTATTTTCCACCATAAACATCGCACCGCCCTATAATCAGTCCAAATATGTCTAATAATGTGGAAAAACACATAAATATGTTTATGTCGCATCTATTATGAGTCACTGCTGACAACCCGGAAATGTGGGCCAGTGTTGTGCCAAAAACCGATTGGCTGCCAAATGACAGCCGCGGGAACGTGCACAGGAGGACTTTGACAAGAATTTAACAAGATTAACATTTAAAAACAATTATTTGTTTGCTCGAAATTATAGCAAAGACGTGTCTCAATCTGACTTTTCCTTAATAAATGCACTTTGACGGTCAAATCAGTTGCATTTCAAAAGCCGATATGCGGAAACATGAACGCCCAGAGGGCAACTCGCTGTCCATTTCTTTGAAATTTAACAAGATAACCATCTAAAAACAATTATGTGTTTGCTCAACTTTATAGTAAAGGTGTGTCTCAGTTGAACTTTTACTTAATAAAAAGGACTTCAATGTTTAAATCAGCTTCTTTTCACCGGGGCGGGGCAGTGAAGCTGATTTGACAGTTTCTCCAGGCAGATGACGGTGGGTTGGTACGGCAAGCCGATTGTGTCATTAATAGCCACTTTTACCTATTACATGATACAATGGCATGCCATACTCCTCGAGTACCGTCTAATGGCTGAAAATGTTAGTTCAATATGTTCAACGTCAGAATGAATGAAAACAGTCATATCTCAGCCAAAATTTGGTTTATAAATATGGTCGCTTCGTCGTATAAGTCGCAGGGCATGTAAATTATGCAAACAAATACGACTTATAGGTTGAAAAATACGGTAACTAAAAAGCAACATTTTTACAGTTTTACAAAATAACTGCACTTTAAATTTTTTCTCATAAACCACCATTTACTTCTGTTGAGGTCGTGTTAATTAAAATCAGGAAACACTTCCCTCCTCATTAAAGGCTTCAGTAAACACTTGGACTCCACAAATCATCTCTCCTCCAACCTCAGATCCCAGTGTAAACACTGAGCATCTCTGGCTGGCCTGTTGCTGATGTAACGGCACACTATCAGCCAAAGAAATGTGATCTTTGACCCAGTTTTAGCTGCAATCACTGAGTTTAAGAAAGTGTGTGCCTCTGCTCTTGTTTTATGTTTTTCCCAACTCCCAAATGCTAGGTTTATTCTTAAGAAAGACATTTTAAGGGGGTTGTTTGTGTGCAAACGTATACCAATCTCTCCTGGAGGACCAACTCTCCCTGGTCGTCCAGGTGCTCCTTTTTGTCCTTTGTCTCCTGGTTCTCCTTTAGCAGAGAAAGAATAATAAAAAAAAGTTGTTTAAATGTACTTTTGTCCATTAAATTCCCATCAAATATGAACGCTCATAAGAAAGCTCGGATACCAACGTGCCTTTGAGTCCAGGGACAAGAATCTGAACGGTACAGGAGTCCTCAGCCATGTGCTGTCCAAATGAAATCTGAAGTGGTAATAAACTCATCACAGACAGCAGCACTGCAGGAAGCACCAGTTTTCCTCCTCTCATTCTTCTATGCAGCCCAGGAAAGAGAAAAGAGAAAGGAGCACAATAAAGAAAAACAAATAAGTGTTAAGGGTTTAAAATAGAAACGAGCCCAAACTAAAATGTTACATCTTGATTGAATCTTTATTAAAGAAAAAGGGACATATTCCAGGACCAGTTTCCTGAAGATGCTTGATTTAAAGGCTTGGGAGAAACACTCAGCTGCACACTTGTTAAAAAAAAAAAAAAATCACGAGTCCGCTGTAATAGACTACAAACTTTATCATTTTAGTCTACCTGCAAACACTAACAATTATTATTAGTAGTATTTTGCCTAAACGGTTAACTTTGCTTACCTGTAGAAGTGTTTTCCACACAGAGAAGAAGTTATTCCAACTTAGAACGAGCTTTGATTGTGATGGTACTCCAACAGGCACATTTCATGTTCCTCCCCAGGCAACGCAGAATGTGTGTGTTATAAACATTTCACAGATTAAGTCCAAAGCAGTTGGGGCCCTGCAGATAATTGGCTGAAAAAGCTGTTGGGTGATTGATGGCAGGGAGGCCCGTTACAACCTCTGTACTACCAGATTATCAAAATAAAATGGATGGTTTAAATTAATCCAATAAATGCACAACATTGTTGCCATAATAGCCAAAGAAATGTAAAAATGAAAGTGTTTACCCTGATCAAATGTTCTTCTAAGTTTTGTCATCAAATCTTTATCGTGTCAAAGCCTTGTTGGTTGTGAGTCGATTCTCAAATGCCTTAAAGTGACTCATATAAATGTTTGATATTTCTGCTGTTTTCTCCCCAGTCTGTTCTTTTTTAGTGTAGCTGAATTGCACCAACTATAAGGTTGAGTTTGGGTTCAAAAAGATGTTATTGCCTGTTTGGCCACATGAGGGCGCCATTGCCCATGCAAGGAGACGGATGGCACCTTGACCCAAAGTACTCATCACAAAATTTGTCCTTTTGCACAAAATAACCATGACAGAAATAACATTAAATATTTTTTAAAGTGTGTGTTGTTGAATCCACACTGAAATATCAGAGCCTGTGTGTCTTTAGTTGTGTTTGCATAGTGTTTAGGATGAATTCCAGTCACCCACCTGGACTTAAATGAATATATTATGACTAAAATGTCATCATAAAAAAATGTAGATTTGTTTATATGCTGTCCATCTTGTGTCAGTAATCGGATATGGTCCAGCACAAAAGCATCAGATGACCTAATTAGATTCATAAACCCTGTGGCAGCCAGTGTTTCAACTGCGGATTAGATGTCTCCTTCAAAAACACCCCCCAAAAGTTTTAGATTACAAGCTTCTCAAATATTTATGACTCTCAAGGCAGCATGCGCAGTCTCTTCATCGCAGTCACTGAAGTGGTCAGTTGTTTGAATTTTAATTTAGCTTCAATTTTGCAAAGATGGAAAACACAAAAATAAACATGATAGCAGGAGCTGGTTTAAGTGGCGACATGTCACGTTGGTTCAATGACATAATCATAAACACATATATTTTATTATTTTTGTTTATGTGTCTCATTTGAGTGTTTTCATATCGTCCACAGCATCCGTCAAACACCATGTTTATTAGATCAGATGCCACTATGTTTGCTTCAGGAAAAGAAATCTTCAATAATAAACTTTTTTTTTAATCCACCTGCTCAATTCTTCATGTATTTTTCCTACGGAGTCAGTGTTTTTTTCTCTCTCTCAGCGTCCGACGGTAGATATTCCGAGCAACACGTCAACGCACCTCCATGGTGACGTCACCGGCGCTCACCGTTGGGGGCGCGAGCTCAGCAGGTTGCTGCTCATCCGTCCTGTGCCGCGGCGGCATCAAACGCAGACAAAACCTGGAGCATTTCCTCAAACCTCAGACCCGCGTGAGGGACACGCGCGTCACAGCTGTCCCCCTGCACGTGAACCTGACTGTCTGAAGGACAATTCTCGTAAGTGTGTCGACTTTTGTCCAACTTTTAATTGTTTTTAAAGCGACAAGACAGAAACAGCTGGTGCTACTTTAACAATAGGCTCATTAAAGCTCCTTTGTGGACTTTTAAGTATAGTAACTTTTTATAATTATTCCATGTTTAAACTAGTGCGTAACAGTCAACTTATAAAGCGTTATTTACGAAGTAATATGAATGAATGAAACGTTATCTTATCCTTTAGCTATGATTTGTCCTTTATAATAAGTTAACTTTAAAGGTTTCTCTTATTTTATTTTATTTTATCCACTACTGCCCTCTCCTTTGTTAAACCCTGTTTTTCCGGCATTTGTTTTTAAATGCAACCCATAGTGGAAACTGTACATCTTTCCCACTCCAGTAGTCCAGTGCATTTTCCATTCTCCTTTGACCTGGTGAAGAACAGGAAACAAGTGGCAGGAAATAAGAGGCGTGCTTTTTTGTGTCCTGCTTTAACTCTGGGCCAGTCTCCATGAATATTTGTGTTTCTTGCTCTTTGATTTGCATTGTCCCAAGGCTGAAGGCTGACTTCTACTGGTTTCCACCTCCGGTCTGCCTCACCTCTCTGGATTAGGGTCAAATACTAAGAGGATTTAACTCTGCAGAGTCAAAGTTTCTCGTGAAGGGCTTGTCTCAGTTTGATTAGAGGTGAGACACTTTTGTTGTGTATTGTCCCAGATGGAGTGAGAGCAAAATGATTCCTACAGTTCGGAGCACAAATCAGCTTTGTGGGACGTCAGTGCACTCGATATTTCCAACATACGGAAAGTTGTGTTGTCGTGTCATCGGTCATCAGCTGAGTTTATTTCCCGACAGCTTCTAATTCAACCGCAGTGAAGTTGTGAACTTTGGTGTTGCGTTGTGGTTATCACCGTCTTAACAAAACAGCCTTGATCCAACACTCGAAGGTTGTTGTTGATAGCAGCTGCTTTCTTTTCCCCTGATGTTTCATTTTGGAATCCTTTAGTTCAAGTTACTGGGATGGACTTGCGACCTTTCCAGTCCCCCGCCTCTTGCACAGTGATAGCTGGACATGGGCACCAGTGACCCCCCGTGACCCGAAAAAGCAAGCGGGTAAAGATGATGGATGGACAGTTCAAGTTAAAAAGAACGACAATATTGCTTCCATTTGTGGTGTTGACTCTGATTAGTTCAGTTACCGGTACATGCTTTCTTTAAAATGTTTTTTTTTTTTTAATTCTTCCTACACAAAGATTGTGTTTTGAAGCTCCTTTAGTTGAAATAATTTGGTTGACCAAGACCAGACCGGTCGTGTTCCTATTAACAAAGCGTTGAGAGTCTAACTTCAGTTTCAACAGGTGTAAGCATGCACAAATGTGTTAATTGTATCCAATCAAAACTGTTAAATAGTGTTAAATCAGTAATGATGCGTAGGCCTGTCGCAATAAACGATAAATCAATTAATCGCATGATAAATGAAAATTATCGACCTCATTTTCATTTACCGGCTTTATCGTTTCTTCGTGTCTCTCTCTTTCTACTGAAGACACTGGATGACAAAAGGCTCAACTCCGGTGTTCTTCACCGACTCCTCCCTTTCTCTTTTCTCTTTAAAATCTGCTTTTAATGATCCAAAATCGCGTTTTTGGATCATTAAAAGCAGCTAAGCTGAGAAGCTAAGCTACAAGCTAAGCTAACAGGCCGATCTCGGGAAAAAACCTCTGTCTTGCCGAAGCGCCAAACTTCACGGTTGAAACCCGTGCCTTCTTCTAAAAAGTTGTTTTTCTCTGCAAAAAGAAGCTGAGAACTTGTTTATTTTTATTTTTTTATTAAAGGCTTTGTGTGAAAAATGCTAAAGATCCTGATGCATGCTCAATGCTATGATATGCTATAGCTAGCTACACTAGCTATGCTAAAGAGCTCAAACCACATCGAGTGTCCGCCATTTTGAGAACCGTAAAACAGGAAGAGACGCAGCCCACGTCACGTCAAGGGGCCTCCCTCCCATTTTTCTTAAAGAGACACGCCGCTCGCTCCTTCACTACCTATCCTTTGGTTCAAACCATTTTATACTGCCATCCAGTGGTCAAATACAGGTACTACACACAAAAATTAACCAACATTTCTTATTAAATTTGACAATTACTAATTAATGACAAATTTTAAACAGTATTATTACGTATCGCAATAATTTCTGAGACAATTAATTGCCCTGCAACATGTGTTATCGTGACAGGCCTAGTGGTGCATACTGCGTGTTAAAGCAGATGAGAAATGGGTTCATTCAAATTCTGCACAGCAACTTAAAGTTGTCTCCGTGTTTTCAAAGTCCTCACGGTCTCATTGACTGCAGCTTGGACATCCTTTGCATAACTTCCAGAACACTTTTACAAACTACACAAACACAGGTGAGAGGTGTGTTTCTGCAGGAGTACACACCGCAGCACACTTTTAATGGGGCTAGGTGGGAACTGCATTATTTATTGGTGGTTCATGTCTGTGTTATGTAAGATTGCTTTAAAAGCTTATTTTTAGAGCTTTTGTGAAGAGATGCATTGGAACAGCACTGGGTCTAAAATAATGAAACATATTGTATCGGATTGTAATACCTATTTTAAATATATAGAAATAAATAGATAAATCAAAATCAGTATTATCTGATGAGTCAAACATGTTTCAGCAGTTTTCATCCATTTCCATTTATCTCGACTCTGAGGTTTATTAAACACACACACACACACACACACACACACATGGTATCAGTGTTTATCCTGGTTGCAGAAATACTCTGTGGTTTTAGATTAAATCAGACCAACAATCATCTCCGTTCATCAGCTCAGTTGTTGCCCGGCTGCAAACACAACAAATCTGCGAAGATCTTTGAAGAGTTCAACGTCTGTCGCTGTTTCAGTGGCACGTCCAACTTTACAACAGTTTCGTTTTGCATCAAATTGCAGTTTATTAGAAATGCATTGAGTTTATTTTCAGCTTGGCTCGTCTATCTCTGTTAAAAAAATATAAATCTTGTATTCTCCAAATGCCTTTAGTTCAGATGCATTATCTCATGTTTGATAGGACTACCTAC